CACCTCTCACCTCGTCACCTCCCTCACCTCCCTCACCTCTCACCTCCTTACCTCCCTCACCTCATCACTTCCTCACCTCCTCACCTCCTCAGCTCCTCACCTCCCTCACCTCTCACCTCCTCACCTCCCTCACCTCTCACCTCCCCACCTCCTCACCTCATCACTTCCTCACCTTCTCGCCTCCTTTCTCCTCCCTCCCCCTCACCTCCTCAGCTCCCCATCTCCCCACCTCTTCCTCTCCGCATCTTGGTTCCGGGAGGCACCCGGTGGCCTCACTCCCCACCTCCTGCTTTCCTTTCATCCACTGTTCTCACCTACAGGCCAGGATGGAACCTTTGCTGACCTCGGTTCTGGAGGTGAATCATCACTGTTCTCATCATGGCTTGTATGGGGCGTGTGGGGTCCGACTTGAAGTCAGATTTTCTGAATAGAGTTTGGACTTAGGTTTAACCCGGAATGTTCCTTATATGTGACTTGTGCTTCAGTAGTAGACGAGCTTTGAAGCTGTCTAATATCACATCGTCAGTTTGTTAATTTTAAAGACGAATTATTCACTGTTATATGCTGAGAGATATTTCACGTCACTCAAGAATAAGATGACAGGAAATACCCTTTTTTTAGAACATGATGATGCCAGCAGCGCTTGCTCACGCACGTAGAGAAAGCGTTTCATATACCTGCAAGAAAGAAGAAATCCAGGAGAGCAACTTGGGTTTCCTGGCAGTGTGAAATGGTTCAGAGCAGTGTTCCTGCTCCTCGTTTATTCTTTCGCTTTGGGTGCCAGACAGCACAGCTGTCCTCACCAGCTCCCCTCAGCGAGCACCTCTTCCTCACCCCTGCTTCTTCCGTCAGCGGTGGGGTCGGGAAGTGGGAAGATGGGGCAGGCCGAGCGTCAGCCCCCTGCACCGGACCTTGCAGAGCGGGGCTCGTCCAGCAGCTGGCTGCCAAGTGCCGACGTGGGTGAGGGTTGCACGGCTGCCTTGCCCTCCCCTGTCTGGCCGTGGGTCGCCCCTGCTCACTCTCTCCCTCCCCTGCCAGGGCCCTGGACTTCGGGTACCTGACCCAGGACATGATTGACGACTACGAGCCAGCCCTCATGTTCACCATCCCCAGGTTGGCCATCGTGTGGTGAGTGTCCCCCTGCCTGGGGCCGTCGTTTCTCAGAAACCTGGCAGGATAGTCGGGTCCATGGTGCCAGGCCCCTCTGGGTGGTGGTAAGTGGTACTTGTACACCGAAGGGGGCTGCTCAGCCAGCCCAGAGCAGCTGCCAGGTGGTCCTGCCCTTGTCCCAGCAGACGAGGAACCAGGTGTTCCAAGTGCCTCCCACTCAGCCAGCCTAGATGGTGCAGGACGGGTGAGCATGACAGCCACGTGCACTCCCAGCCCTGGGAAGAGGCCCCCACGCTCAGGCACAGGGGCCCCATCAGGGGCTGTGGGAGTGGCTTTGTAGGGATGAGAGGCGAGGTGCCCCTGGTCCCTGCTGGAGGATGTGTTGGGCGTGTTTGGAGGATTCATGGGCTGGCAGGGAGGTGGAGCCTGTTGGGTGAGGGGCAGGTGGGCGGCAGCCGGCCTTGCGATGGGGTGGGAGCACGGCTGCTGAGAGCAGAGGAGCGCTGGGTTAGGCCTCTGGGGTCTGTGGCTTCAAATGTGTCACGGCAGCACGTGGGGTCGGTCGTCAGTCATGCTTGACGGGAAGTACTCGGTCGTGTGCTGAGCCTTGCGGAGCCTCTCAGAGCCAAGGTCAGAGCCCAGCTGTTCTGGGCTTGGTTCACTCTACTCAGCCGCACCCGGACTCCCAGACACAGACCACCTTCCCTCCCGCCAGGTGAGGGAGTGTGGGGCGGGTGGGCACAGGCGCCCGGGGGGCAGCTGGTGTGCAGCTAGGTAGGGAGCTGGTTGTAGGTGTGGATGTCAGTGGACTGGCCTGGGGAGCATGGGGGGGACACAGAGGCACAGGCCCTGGGGAGAACTCGCTGCACCTGCACCTCCTACAGCAGGTCCGTGGGGCGGTGGCAGCGCTGCAGGATGGGCCAGCCTCTGGGACAGAGGGGCGTGCCTGGACCGCAGGGAGCTGGACGAGTCGTGTGCCGCGTGCGGGAGGGGTGGGGAGCAGGCCGGGCAGACGACCCTGGGCCGAGCCAGAAGCGCCTTCCACTGCCTGGGACTGTGGAGGTGTCGTGGCAGGGAGCCTGACGTGCCATGAAGCGCAGAGCAGACTTGGCGAGGAGGGCCCGGGGAGGCGGGCAGGCGGGGTCGGCCCAGCATTCGGGGAAGCCTGAGCGGCCGCCTCCGGTGTGCAGGGTCAGCTCCCCACACTTGAGTCTTACGTTGGGCTTGGGGACCGGCCTGGCCCCCACCTCGCTCTTCCTGGCCTCACTGTGCTCCAGAGCTGCCTTTCCTCCAGAGCTACCTTCCAGAGGTCTCTGCAGTGGTCTTGGGAGGAGCCAGAACCTTTCCAGAACCTCCCGTCAGTTTCCACTGTCTTAGAGGGAACCTGTTCTAAATCTCGGGGGAGGGCCAGAGACTCTTAGACAGCACGCCCGTCTTAAGATAAAAGCGAGAACGTTGAACAGAAACACACGTTTCTGGGTTTCCGTGCTCGAGTCCGTGGTGTGTGCTCAGCTCCTTGCGGCTCCCCGGTGCTGGCGGCCCAAGGCTAGGGTGTGCAGGGTGGTGCTGTCCGGCCTCTCCATGCTCCCCGAGCTGGCCTTCCAAGGCCACTTCTCCCTGAGTGGGGTCACTGGGCCCTCTCTGCTGACCTCAGGCCACCTTCTGACACCTGAACTTGTCTGGGTCCTTGTCCCGGGAGTGCCCTGGGCAGGGCCGTTTTCCTGTCGGGCACCTCCTGGAGGCCTCGCGTGGGGTCCTCTCCAGCTTAGGCTGGAGGGAGGTCTGGAAGCGGAGCCGCAGGACCTCCGAGGTCACGAGGGGAGGCTCTGAGTCACGGCGAGGAGAGGCTGTGTCTGAAGTCGAAGTGGAGGCGGGGCAGGAGCCCAGAGTCTGGGGGCTTCACGGCAGCCGCTGAGAAGCCCTCAGACCTCCTAGAGCCCCCAGGCCCCCATCAGAAGCAGGTCTCCAGCCTCGCAGCCAGGCTGTGGGTCTGAGGACCTGAGGAGCGCCAGGCTTAACCAGAAGGAGCCGGGAGAACTGGTCCCGGAGCCAGCTACCGCCTTCAGGGACGCTCACAGGGTCCCTGTGGGACCCACAGTGCAGCCACCCGGCTCCCTCTCTCAATTCCTCGTTGTTCACAGAGGCCACCGCTGCCCAGCTTGGGGCCCAGGGCTCACTCCTTCCTGGATTCACCTGTGAGCATGTATTAAGCACCTACTGCATGCCGGCCCTGTGCTTGTCCTCAGAGATATGGGGATGACCGCGAGGGAGGTGCACACGTACACAAGGCAAGCAGTTGCCATGGAGTATTCTGGATGCTGGGATGCGGTTGGGGGTTTGGTGCAGGGACCCTCTGGGGTGGATCTCTTCTTCCGGGCCAGCGAAGGTTCCCGTCCAGTCCCCTGGCCCACCTGCTTCTTGGCAGCCGAGGACTCAGGCCTTCCTGTGGCTCCAGCCCGTGGGAGCAAAGGCGAGTGTGGACAATGCCCCCTGCCCGGCCCTCCACAATCTCAGGATCGCCTCCAACCTTCTCTCCCCGCCTTACCTGCAGCCCACTCCCTTCCTTGGTGCTCACCACTTCCTGTGCAGGGTGTTCCCATGTTTCGTCTTAGGAGATTACCTTTAAGCCATGTTATTGAGATAAAATTCACATATCGTATGACCATTTGAAGTGTACGATTCAGTGGTTTTTAGTCAATTTGCAGAGTTGTGCAACCGTCACCACTAATTTCAGGGCATCGTCGTCACTGAAAAGATACCACTTACCCCTCAGCCATCACCTCCACCCCTGTAATCCCATCTCTCTGTAGATTTGCCTGTTCGGGATATTTCATGTAAATAGGATTTGGGTGACTTTTTTTTTTTTTTTTTTTCTTGCGTTATGCGGGCCTCTCACTGTCGTGGCCTCTCCCATTTGCGGAGCACAGGCTCCGGACGCGCAGGCTCAGTGGCCATGGCTCACGGGCCCAGCCGCTCCGCGGCATGTGGGATCTTCCCGAAACGGGGCACGAACCCGCGTCTCCTGCATCGGCAGGCGGACTCTCAAGCACTGCGCCACCAGGGAAGCCCTGGGTGACTTTTTGTCTCCCCCACGGGCCTGTAAGTGTCACGGGGCAGGGGTACTCACCTGCACTCACGTGTCCTTAGTGCCTGACAGGTGGTAGCACAGTGAATTTTCGCAGAATTTTGTTGTGCTGATCTGACAGGGCACAAATATGAATTTGTAAAGTTTTTCACTGAAGTTTTAATCATAAAAATTTGATGGGGGGGTATAGACCCGGAATTAAGGGATTGATTAAAAATGATACTCTAGCTATTTAAACAACATTAAGGATGAATCCCAAATGTCAGGGAAGAATTCCTAGTGTATCAAGTACAAAAATCGTCACCAAACAGTGTGTCTCTACTAAATTTCTGAACGTGATAGGTATAAGTTTTGTAACAGAAATCAAAGCAATAGATGTTACTTTTTTATTGTGATAAAATACGCATGACATAAAACTGACCATTTTAACCCTTTCGGAATGTGCACAATGGCATTAAGTACATTCACATCGTGCAACCGTGAGTGCGTGTGTGAGCATGGGCACGCGCGCATGTGTGTTGGTCACGTTTCTCTGGAGAACTCTGACCAACACACAGGTGAATCTTTCTCTTTTCTTTTTTTTCTTATTTTTAAATTAATTTTTATTGGAGTATGGCTGATTTACAATGCTGTTAGTTTCAGGTGTACAGCAAAGTGAATCGGTTACACATACACACGTATCCACCCTTTTCTAGGTTCTTTCCCCATATAGGTCATTATGGAGTATTGAGTAGAGTTCCCTGTGCTGTACAGTAGGTCCTTATGAGTTATCTGTCTTATATGCAGTAGTGTGTATATGAGGAGGTGAATCTTTGTCTTCTGAGATTTGGTGGTGGATTCTTAGATTTGACACCAAAAGCATGAGCAACAAATTTTTAAAAATAATACATTAGACTTTATCAAAATTTAAAATCTGTGCATCAAAGGACAGTACCAAGAAAGTGAAAGACAGCTAAAGAGTGGGGGTGGGGCGGGCCCTCCCTCCATGCCGGGCGTGCTCCCCTGGCCCACGCGAGCTGGACCTGGGCCGACCCCTCACCGTCCCCTGCATTATGCCGGGGCACCCCCGGGCCCAGCCACGTGCCTGCCAGGCTCCACTGTGGGGCTACCTTGCATGGACGCGGGCTGTGTGGGCTGAGAGGGCGCGATGGCCAGGTCACCAGCCCTGTGGGGCTGAAGCTCTCCCTCTGATGGCTTGTTTCCAGGCCTGGTTCCCCCCATCTCCCCTCCCCACCCCCGCCCGTTGCATCAGCACCCAGGCCAGCTGGACACTGAACAGGTGTCTGCTGAGCTCCTCCTGGGACACGAAGACCAGCCTCACCCTTGTCCGCAGGGGTGCCCCATCATGGGAACGCAGAAACATGGCTGCCCCATGACCTCTTCTCTGCCCGTCCTGGCAGTTGGCGTCACTTCCCGGAGCTGCTGAGTGGGAGGGAACCCTGGGTGCTCCGGCGCGTGCGAGCACCGCTGGACAGAGCCTCGGGAACGGCCTAGGTCCCCCCGGTCTCCCACCAGAGGGGGTGGGCAGGGTGGCTTTAGGGGTCTGTGCACAGAGCTCTCCTGCTGGATGGATTCTTTTCTGGGGCTCACAGCTCCATGGAGGCCGTGCTGGGCAGGAGGGCCCCTGCTTGCTCACTGGGGGCCAGCCCAGTCCTCCCCAGGACCCAGGAAAGGAGACAGGCTTCCTCCCTGCCCCCATCGCTGCTTTCTGAAAGAGGAGATGGCCAGGGTTCCCCAAACTCACCTTTCTTCTGCCTGTTTTCACTCTGCCTTTGTGCTGAGACCACCGCATTTACCCACCAAGTTAAGGCTCTGTCTTGGGAAATCTTCCCTCAAACACGGTTAATTGAACCATGACCGTTAGCTCATGGAAGATCGTGAAACAGCCCAGAAGGAATGGAGGCCCAGCCGTGCCCTCTGCCCTCCGCTGGCTCAGGACACAGGCCCTCGAGCTGGCTTCTCCTCGGGGCCTGGAGCCCGCTGGTCATGCTGGTCACGGCCAGGTGTGCCCCAAGGGGGCCTCACAGCCCATGTTTTTCCTGTTTTTAGAAAAAAAGGAAATCTTTTTGCCCATGAAACCAACCTTTTTTTCGGAGAAAACAGTCTCCTCATTCAACTTTGTTTATCAGTTTTTCTCACTGAACTGGGTGTTTTCCAGAAGTAATGGGGGCTCCCAGCTGGATGGGTGACTGCACCCTGAGGCCTGAAATAAGATCCTGTTCATCCTCAGAGGCGTGCCAGCGGCTCCGCATTTACACAAACAAGTCCCCGAGGTGCCGACCTATGCTCCATGGGGCCGCGAGGGGACAGGCCCGTGTTCACGGGTGGACGATCCCTGGGCACCCAAGAGGTGCAGGAGGCATCCAGAGAAGGGTCCTCAGGGATAGGTCCTCTCTCTGAGAGATGGGTCTGGAATGATGGTCACGCGCCTGGAGATGGGTGGGGCTGTGGCTACGCAGGTGAACACGGGACACCCCCTGTGGAATCGGGGCACCCGGAGCTGGCATCTGGGCAGAGTCAGATGGGCCATGGGGCCCAGCCCAGCGAAGGGGGTCCTCTTGAGGCACAGGGACGCCCAGCGGGAGGGTCCATCCTGCCTGAGGGGTGACAGGAGGCTGCCCCCATCTTGAAGGGTGCCTGACCATGGGCCAGAGTGCTGGGAGGGGAAGGGGGCTTTGGAGACAGCCTGGAAAGGGTGGGAGCAGCCGGGACATGACATTCACAGCCTGGCGGGGCCGGGAACCGCGAGAGCCTGTGGCCAGTGTGAGTCGGAAAGTCTCGGGCAGCCCCCGGACCTGGGGCGTGTGGACGGAAGGAGGGAGAGCTGGGAGGACAGCCTGCGGGGCGCTGTCTGGAAAATCTTGCCCTGTCTGCGCTGTGCTCCTGCAGGACCCGCACCCCCAGGGGCCAGCCCTGGGGTCAGGGCTCCACGCTGGTGGAGGGCTGGGCTGGGCTTCACCTCCAACTCCTGTGTCCCTTTTGGAGTAGATGGTTCCAGGACCAGTTCTCACAAACCTCTGCATTTGTGGTATATTTAAACACAAATCCAGTATTTCCATTTTCAAGGAGGCAGATTTTAGCAACAAATCCTGATGCTGATTTATCTGATTGCAGCTGAGAGGTGTGCAGCCATATTTTTATCATTATTTTATGATCCCTCAAACGAACATAGGCTAATCAACTTCGAAAGAGGATAAAATCTGGGTAATAATTTTCACTGCTTTTTTGTAAACTTATTTACAATTCGATCGCAGAAGGGAAGTGTGTGCGGGGTGTGGTCTGGGCTGGCCATGCGGCTGCAGGACTTGACATCAGGCTGGCTTTCTGTCTTGGGTGCAGTGGCCTCGTGGTCTATGCGGATGGACCCCTGAACCTGGACCGCAAGGCAGAGGACATGTCCGAGCTCTTCCGGCCCTTCCACACATTGCTGCGGAAAATCAGGTTGGTGGGGTG